GAATAAGTTACAGAACTCAACACAATATCTAGCAAAATCCTTAACCAAGAAATAAGTTATAGAGGCTCTACTATCCTTTTTAAGAATATGTGTGCTCTTCAATCCTGAAATATGAAAACATTTGAAATCTCTTATGTATCCTTTTTAGTTTCTTTTTAAATAATGTGACAACGAAGTACCTGAATGTATTTCTTGATTGAATACCACTTTGTCAACTAAATTAATCAGGTGAAATCTCTTCAGTCATGGTTTCATATTTAATACATCTTAATAGGCTGAACCAAATAATCAGAATAACCCTTTTCTGCAGGAGAGTCAAGGCACCCGAGGATGAAGAGGATCTTTGTCATCAGAGTAACTCAAAAGACCACTCTCTATAGGTGAAGCATAAAGTGTCTCCAGGAGAAAGTCGGTCCTAATTCATCGACGAGTAAGAATGATCTACCTCCTTGTAATAAAAGTCGATGTGCCCCCCGAGCCAAGAAGTTCCATTCTCAAATCATACTGATTTTATGCCTTGAAGATCTTTGTTCCTGATCATTAAGCTCGATGGAAGCAAAGGACCCTTGCAACTATAGAGTTGAAAGATTCTCATTTTCTCGTTCTTCTTAGAACATGATTGAAAAGCCAAGAGAATTGATGAACTAAATGTATACACAAATATGATTATATACTTAAATATAATCTTTCGTTGTGTATTTTAACAAACAAAACTAATACGTTGAATTGAGCCCACATATTGAAGTGGCTGAACTAAGCTCACATGTTGAAGTGGTTAAAATGAGCCCACCTTTTGAAGTAGTTGAATTGAGTCCACCTGTAGTGTTTGAATTTTATCTCTTCCTTGGAGGCAACATAGTTCAAGTAGAGAGGGACAACTACTATAGATTGTCAAGTTATTTGCAAGGATGTGAGTCAATCATTCTTTAAAAGTGTCTTCTGATATCCACATCGTGGTGTTCTCATCAAGACACTATGAATGAGTGTTATACTATACTAAATATATTTTTTTATTATTTTTTTTCTTTTTTGTATAAGAAGGAAGTCGAGATAAGAGAATGGGGATCCTCAATATTTTCTCAGACTCTCTCTCTCTAAAAATTTCTATAATCCGGGTAGGGCTATCACAGTTACTCGTTGTTCGCAAACAATTCATGTTCGGCTCGATAAGAAGCTCATGTTCGATTTGTGTGCTAAGTTAACGAGCCAAACACAAACAATTTTTTTTGCACTTGATATTTAAACGAGTCAAACAAGAACAAAGATTTGTTTATTCGTGTTCGGCTTGTTTTGACTTGAAATAATTATATATATATATATATATATATAATGAGTATTTT